TATATATATATATATATCCTCCATTTTGTGAATTTTTTAAATTAATTTGGATCTTAAAGTTAGTTTACGATAACTTTAAATCATAAAAATGTCAATTTGTAGTGATTTATTTATTTTTATTGATAAGAAAATAATAAAGAAATTTGTACATGTTTAGAAAAAATTGGGACATGTGACACGTCAATCAATCAATACAATGAAAGTATGTATCCGTTAAGACTTGAGAGGAATTGGTAGATCATGGTATCTTTAAAAATTAGACCTTACCTTACATCCGAGATATTTTCACTAACATAGTATAAAATACAATCAAAGTAGTTAGATGTCGAATCCTCAAATATTGATGTAATTACCACTTAATGAAATAAATTAATAAAAATTAGAGCATGAGACACGAAAGTATACCAATCAAAGTATAATAGAGTCTGCTCCGGTGCAGGGTGAACTGGTGAGGCGTTTTTATTTTGAATGTGTAATTTTATTTCAAAATTTTTTAAATGGGTTATTTTTAAAAAGAATTTGAGAATGGGTAAGTCGTGTTTTTAAAACACGAAATATAACGTAAAAATTGTGTTTAAAATCATAACTTTTTTATTTATAATTTTAAGATATTTTTTAAAAATAAAAAATAAAAATTGTATTTAATAACATGAATCTTATGAATAACTAGAATGATCGAGACACTTCATGCCTGTAATAATTATACAAAAATATAATATTAAAAAGTTGTATATAGTTATTCAAAGAGAATATAAGAATTTTTATTATTATTTAAGAAGTATAATGGTCCACTAAAAAGTGGAAACTAAAAACAGTTACATATCCCTGTATCCCCTTTATAATAGGTATAAATTAATTTATTAAACACAATTTTATTTCTTTTTTATTTATTTTTTTTGAAAAAAAAATGAAGTCATATTATTAAATATAACCTTTTTTCAAAAATAAAATAAAATAGGAGTAGTGAATCAAACACAACTTCTCTCAACCCTAAGCATGTGGTTCAGCGGTAGGGGTTGATCCACCCTTAAGCAAGGTCAAGGGTTTGAATCATGTCTTGTGTATACAGCATTTTAAAAAAAAAAAAAACATAACTCCTCCCCAATTTTAATTTTTTTAAATTGCATAATATTTCTAAAAATTAAAATAAATTTTGTAAAAAATTATTTGCTTCAGAGTCCTATTTTATTAGGGTTTAAAATGGTGTTCGTAGTATTTTCTATTTCCTTTTTAATTTTTATGATATTTTTAAAAATTGAAGTAATTTTTAAAAAAATATTTGCTTTATTATTAATAAATTTTCTAAACCATGTATATTTTCTAAAAATTAAAAAAATTACTATTAATAAATATGAATATTCATATATAATAGTATATTTAATTTTATAATATTTAATTAAATTTATAATATTAAAGTTAATATTCTTCATATTTAATATAATTTGATATATTTTAAAATTTTTTAAATAACTTTGTAAAAATATTATTATAATTTTAAAAATATTACACATTTAAAAAAATAAAAACAAAATAAAAACTGGGGAGGAAAGAGTCGTGTTTCGAATCACGACTCCTATTTTATTTTTTTTTGGAAAAAAATGTATTTAATAACATGACTTCATGTTTCACAAAAATAAATAAATTAATCAAGTCGTGCTTCATAAGATGATTATTTATAAATTTCGTGTTATTAAACATGACTTTTATTTTTAAATTTACAAAAATATCTTAAACTTATTAATAGATAAGTTGTAATTTTAAATACAACTTTTACGTTGCATTTCGTATTTAGAAAACACGACTTATCTATTCTTAAATTTTTTTAAAAAATTATCCAGTTCAGAAATAAAAAAAATAAAAAAAAATTAGACCATTAAAGTAAAAAGGACAATTGGTGATTTATCTTCAAAATCGTAAAGAAGGAGACACTACCAAATACCAACATGTAGTTACTTCGAATCATAACAAGCACGGTTGTTTTTAAGTAAAATTTTGAATTTATATTAAAAAAGTACTTAAAGAAAAACTTTCACTAAAAAATAAATTATTTATTGACTACTATGTACTTATAACATAATTATATATATATATATATATATATATATATATATAATTTATAACATATAAAAATAATAATTTGATTTTGGTGTACACATTTTTATATGATTTTACTCTTAAAATTTTAAATAATAAAAATTAATTATCTTCATGTATACAAGACTTAAATCTGACACCTTAAGATTTGAGTATCAAACACAACATCAATTAATCTAATAAACATCGGTAATTTTTAAAAAATTTATAAATAAAATATATAGACACAAAATGCTTTGACCCCACTAACATATATAGAGAAAGGAAAGGTTTCCCTCCTAATAACTAATATTTTACATCAAATTTTAATAATTTAATTGTTGAATTAAAAATATTTAAATTTTAATGATTTAATCGTTGAATTAAATTTTTTTAAAATATAAATCAATTTTGCAAATTTTTAAAATATTTTAAAACTATTTGATACTTTGTTTCATTAATTCAAATTGATGAATAATTATAAAAATATTTTATAGATTATTTGAATTAATGGTTTCCAAATATTTAAAAAATTTGCCTAATTGATTTATGTACTAAAATTTTTTAATTTAATTATTAAATTATTAAAATTTGATATAGAACATGAGTTATTAAATAAAATAAGTCTTAAAAAATAAATAAATAGTTTCTCATATATAGAAAAAAAGTTAAATGATCAAATGATATATATAACTTTATGACTTTTTTTACCTTTTTAAATTACCTTCTAACCATTTTCACTTTTTTTTTTTCTTTTCAAGTAACTCTTATTCCATCAAAATTAACTATTATTTTCGTTTTTCTATTTAGTGAGACAAAGTACCTTTTCTTCTACAAGTACATATAAAGACAACAGCAGAGCAATTAACGGATCCACTTGTTGCCTCATTTTTAAACATTAATTAGATTCCACTTTTACAAAATTTAATCCTCAATCCTTTCATGTTCCGGAGTTTAATTTCCACTACACTAATTATTCATTAACAGAGTACTACACTGGTGTGAAATATTTTTATTTTTAATTTAATTTAATGATGGTAGGGATGAGAATAGCACAAGTCTTAAATAGGAGTTTATGATATGATATCTTTAAAGTCAGATCTATCCTAACTTGTCTAATAAAATGGTTAAATTTATACTTAAAAAAACTATTTTTATTAAAAAGTCAAACTTAAGTTTATAGAAAAATCTATTAAACTTCATAGGTTAATCTATTTATTTATATAATATAATAAAAAAATTAATATATATATATATTATTAAAAATATAAATAAAAAATAAATTTATAAAAAAAATAAATTATTAAAATTTAAGATATTTTTTATACAATCATATGTTTTTCATTATAAATTTATAAACTTACGATTTATGCATGAATGTATATCAACATACATAATTATGTATGAATTGTCCCTTCAACAAAAAATATTCAATTTTCTTCTATATTTCTTTTAAAATTTAAGATTTAATAATATTGAATAAATTATATTTTAAAAATAATTTTATTTATTTAAAAAAATTAAATTTATTAGACTAATTAACATTAATAATTTAAATAGATTAATAGGTCAAATTAGACCTTAAAAAACCAGATTAAACCTATAAAAAAGTCAATGATAGATATTACGCCAAATTTAGACTTTAATTTTGTAAAACAAGTTTAACTTATATATTCAAAACTTGACCTGACTTGACATATACCTATCCTTACAAGGTGATAATCAAACATAGAATTCCCATTATTATTTTCACAATATTTTATTTTTATCTATAAATATAATTCACATGATATTTTAAAATTAATAATTAAGAATTAATATATGTTTATAAAATATAATTTCTGATCAAATATATTATTTTATCACTAATGAAACAAAATAGTCCTCACAATATCTATTAACATATTGAATTAAAAAAAATAGTTATAATTTTAATATTTTTAATCATTCTTTTAATCTTTTCCTTTTTTAATTGACATTAGAAATAAATTTTTTTTAAATAATACATTAGTTTTAAGAAATTAACTCTTAATAATGAGTTTCTTAAAAGATTATTTTTAAGGATAAAATTATGGAAAAGATCATTCTAAGTTTTAGATTTTATGCTTAAATTTCGATAAAATTAGGGTAATTTGCATGGTTGGGTATTGAGATATTGTGTGCAATCACTATAATAAAATTAACTTTTAGTGACATTTAATATGATTTTTAATGGCAATAAAAATTGCTACAAAATCTTTTACTGGCATTTCACGATTTCTGATTATCCGATAGTTAATAAAGGAGCCTTTAAAACAGGTCTACGGCATCAAGTTCACTCCAAAGACAAGAACAGTAACAAAAGAATGGAGTATAAGTAATGTTAAAGTAGGGGAAACCATTCATTCTCACGTACTGACTCGTACAATCACAGTAAACAATTCTTAAATTATCTGTTACGTAACCAATGCTAATCAGTTTTTGCTTTACCATCTGCAGCAAGTTGTGCTTTCTTTTTATTACGTGCAGTTCAGAAATATATCTGAGTTTTGTTCCCTTTTTCTTATGCATTGGTTTATCTAATTTGTTTCTCTTACCACACTTCTCAAGTTTCCTAGGATTCTGATCAAGTTTCGATTATACATGTTATATATAGTAGTAGCCGCGGTAGTTTCCATAAGTATATATGTAATATATGTTATATATCTAACCCGGTTAAGATATCAAGGCAATCGATGCAACATTCTTGAGGGAGATAAAGACAGAAACAGATTTGCAGGAAACAACGATTCAGACAACTGACATTAGAGTTCACAACTTCACATACAGGTCCACGCTTTTTTTTTATTTTAAATTTTCTAATAATTTTTTTTTTTGTAATAATTTTTGAAACTACTGTGAGCTGTGGAAGGACAAGGAGAGAAACAAAATCCCGAGTATTCTTTCGAAGACAGGATCTTTAATTTTTTATGATCTCCAAGAATTTTATTTCTATGAATTTACTAAATCAAATCAACAAAATAACACTACCAATTCTAAAGAAATGGGGAATTGAAATTGGAAAGAAAAAAATATTTATAACAGTAAAGTAACATACCCAGTTAACGCTAAGAAAAAGATAATTTTACTTTTAATAATTTTGGGGTGAGGGGGGCTGCTAATTGATTTTTTCTGCATGTGGGCTTTGATTGATGTTTTAACATGTTTGAGGAGACGTGTCGCTAATTGGTTCAATTTTTTAAAAAAAAAAAAATATATATATATATATATAT